AAGAGGAATTGTCTTTGTTGGCAGTTCTGGAAACATAGAACTTGCTGTTGGGTATGACTTCGTAGTCATCTCCCTCCTGACCCAGAGGAGGAGGGGCAGAGGACACAGAGCAGCAGAACACAAGAGTTTAGGAAAGACTCAAACAGCTCTAAACACCCAGTATTATTTTTTTTTTTTAAACTAAACACTGTACTAGCAAAATTACTAGCTATTAAAAAGATAATAAACATTAAACAGAGTTAAGATTTAGATATCTAAAAGTACTAGAGGTTTATAGACAAGCCATAATCATGTCTATAAATGTCTAGTATTAAATAAATAATAGTAGTACAAAGTATTGAATTTTACAACAATTCGCAAACTAGAGGTACATGTTTGAGGAAGTAGTGATATTAGAAATACAATAACAAAAAAATAAAATAAACTGGGTTAGAAATGTGCCCAATTTCTGACTTTGGAAATTAGTCTAGTATTTCAGGCTGTGTACACCACATTCAAAAATTTTTATTTTTGTCCCAGAAACAACATTTATTTGGGCTGATAAACTTGGAAAAAATAATCCATGAGTTTAACAACTTGATTTAATTTTTTTCCAGCACTGGCTGAGAAAAAAAATCAGTAAGGGACATAATCATTTACACCTCCTCAGGCAGATTAAATACATAAAAAAATTGAATTAGAAAAAAAAACATAGTATAGTTTATTTAATAGGAAACTAAATCCAAATAGAAGCATCCCATGTCATAAACACATTTACACTGCAGAAAAAATAATTTGGGGCACACAAACAAATGCTTGATTATAAAAATAAATTAAAAAGGGCAATTAGAAATACATGGAGAGACTCTAGTGCAATGTGCATCAAATATCGCATGTGGGGGTGTAAACTGCAACTTTCAAGACCGATTTGAGTTTGTGTTTAGTCACTAATGTTATAAATGAGTAGCAATATTATGACAACCAAGAAATAATGTTTTAAAAATCTGACAATCATTTGTGTCCTCCAAAAAATATATCTGACTGAATTATTTGAGTAAGGCTGAATATTGAATCTTTTGAAATAAGTGAAAGAAATGCCTCTGAGTGAAAGAAATATGAATATATATACCTTATCAATAATCTTTTGAAAATGCACTTCAACAGTACAGCTTTGCACATCCTTGTGCTTATCAGAACTGTGAATCAGAACTGAGAGCTTTTTCGATCTGATCTTTTGAGCTCTGTATCCAAACACAAAGAGCATTGAATCTATCACATTGGACTTTCCACTTCCATTGGGACCAATGATGCAGGAAAAGCGCTGGGGGACAGGTAAGAAAGGAGATAAAAATAAAAACAATCAATTATATGAATGTAGACAACATCTACAACAAAAAATTGTGAAGATTACATTTCTTAAAAATATGTGGCCGCATTTTATCTCAGCAAATATGCAATAGTTCAAGTTTTTCATGTAAGTGTAATTAAGGTTTCATTGCAGCAACTTCGGTAGTAACTTTGTGAGCAAAATACAAAGAAAAAGCTAATGTTTTAAGAAAGTCATAATTTAATGAAACTGCAGGAACATCAATAAATGACTACTGTTAGAGAGATGCACTAACAAAATCAAAATGGAGGATTGTGACCCTTTCACTTTTTTTTTATCTAAAAAATATCTTGAAAAAAAATGAAGGTAAAAGCAGATTGTTACTTCAATATTTGCATGGCTTCAACAGTAGAGAGCAGCCAAAAAAATTCACAAAATAAAACTAACACATTGAGATTGACACACAAAACAGATCTTAGCTGACAGATTCAAAGCATTGGTCCAGCCAGACATAAAAAAGGAAAAGAAATAAATAACTTATACCCATGTCTGTTCATACCTTATGAAAAGGCCCCAAAATCTGCTCCCCTGCGTATGACTTAAAATTGCGATTAACTAAATGTGTTATCATTAGGCGCGGAGCGCCTGGTTCATTGGTCATTGCTGGGGGCGGTGGTGGAGGGATGCTGGCGAGGATCTCCTCCAAACTTCGGTTATCTGCCGCCTCAGTAGCTTCCCCCTGAGACGGATCTGTGGCACAACAAAAAAAGTACAACTTTTTTTGTTTTATTCTTCTGGAGCGAGTCGTTTCAGGTGGTGGTAGAGCGTGTGGGGGAGGGGTGAGGAGCGCGCACATACACAAAATAAAAACAAACAAACACACGCAGCACGTCTCGGTCAAAAACAACGCCTATGGGGAGAAAGTTGACATGGCTTATTTTCCCCTTTGTTCAAATCAAGAGCCAGCCCCAAAAAAAGAGAAATAGCATGAACCTACATTAGTACACAAACGCTCCACGACAAGCGTTGATACCAGAGTAGATGCGCCACAGTCACCTCGTCGAAGATGAATAAGCCAAAGTCAATGCTCGGATAAAAAAAAAAAAAAAAAAAAAACATTACACCTTGAGTCATCTTTAGCTGCAATCGACTCACTACAAGGAAAGGGATCTCATTTTGGGGTGACAATATTAAAACGATCATGCTGCCTTCAGAGCAAAGCCAAAGACCTGTCCAAAATCTATTGTGCTCAAATAAGCATAAACAAGCTAAGGAGTTAATGCTTATGACTCAAACACAAGTTACACAGTTAAGCATTTCAAACCATCTTAACGACTGCATTTCTAAAGCAAACCAAAAACGAGCCGATTTCGATTAAATGCATTTAAAATCGGTTATAATATACTACCAGAAAAAGGTAAATAAAAAAATAAATAAATAAACGCTGCATCTTTTGAAATAAACTACCTCGTTTGCAGGGGACATTCGGACAAGAAGCACCATGGTCGTGAACAAATCCAAAAAGTATATTATGACGAGCACTTAAGACAAAAAAAAAAAAAACTATCAGCCCATTCTAACTACGTGTTCGCAAGAAGAAGAAGAAGAAAGAAAAAAAACACTACAGCTGAGCCAATTGGCCTCCACCAGTACAGCAACACACGCAAAGCAATTGACAGAAACTTATTTGGATTCAGAGACACCAAAACAGCCTTTGTTACTTGCCAGTTGTCGGGGGTGCCTCTTCTTGGCCATTAGACTGGCTTTCTTGGGGGGGTACATCCAGCTCTCCCTCAGAGTCATCCCGAGGCTGCAGCCCTTTCCCTTTTGGCTCCCTTTTAGAGGCAGTTGAACTTTTTGCTGTTTTAGATGGCATGATATGAAATCTGAAAGGGTAGTTGAAGGAAGAAAAAAAAAGGAATATCCATTAGCGTTTGTTTTTTTCTGTTTTTTGTATGCGTGCCAATCTTCAAACTCCCATTATAGTCAATCACAGGGAGCTATTCTGTCAGTCTTTTATCATTTCCACAGCCATTACCTGCAAATCCTTCTATTTATCCACATGCAAACACCGTAAGTAAACTAATAGAGTAAAAGCATCTTTCGATGACGCAAATAAGTCCAAAACGTACAGAAAACACGTTTTTAAATTCGCACATTTTAAGTAAAGTCGTAAAAAGCTTCATGCTATAGCTTGGCGTGTCTGCATCCACGGTGGGAATAAAATTGAAGATAAAACCGTTAATATGGCTCTTTCTGAACACTATAGGGTTTTTTTTTCTATGCAAATAAGGTGAAATCGTTCCCTTTAGAGCCTAGTTACGCCTATGTTGCGTGGTCACTACTGCGCAGCTAAACGGGTCTCTCAAACTGACAGGAATATTAACTTTCAGTTACAACAAGTTTTTTTTCTTCTCCTCCCTCTTGCTAAAGGTGGGGGGTAAAATACGGAATAACTACTTATCAATACACGGATTTAATCAAAACCTAAGCGCTACAAATGGATTACTATTTCAACAGCACGTTTTGAATTCTAATCACTTTGTTGCGCATGTTTTATTATTTTTTTTTCGTAAAGTTTTAACATTTAAGCACTAGGTTAGTCACGCTACTCAGCAGTGCTAATGGTAAAGGTAGCGGCTAAAGCTAATAGATGTCAGAGTATCGGAGTATGTTCAAATAGAACGAGATACAGAGTTTGCCTGTAATAAAAAAAATTAAAAGACAGCCTGAATACGATATAAAACACAATAACCCTAGTTACTGCCAGAGGACAGCTTAATGTACGAGTAAAAAAATATGTTTACAGCTTGACATATCATTTTCACTAAAATTAATGCTGTTAAAAATAACCATTACTTGGATATATGTAAAATATTGCACGCAATGGAGTATTAGCCTCGCTTCTTGGGTTGCTAAAGCAAAGACACGGGTTAAAACGTTGCAAACGGATGTTAACACATCGAAGAACGCTTTGATTCCAACAAATAGACGGCACCCAGATCCCACTCCCTTCGAATAAAGTATCCTCGAGTACCTTCTAAGTTATACACGCGGTCCTTCAGAAGTCCTCTTTTCTGTTCCGACTGCAAATCCAACAAAGCGTCAGAAAATCCAAAAAATTCGACAAATATAATCCACCAAATTCAGCTCCGTATCATTGCGAGCCGCTTTCCCATTTGAAAACTGTATCTTGTAAATGGCGCCTAAACTGCGTCGTCGAATCAAATTCGTTACAGGACGCAAGGCACCATGGATCGTTCAAAGGGCAGGGGGAAAAAAAACAAATTCAAAAAAGGGGACGGTGCCAACTCCCCGCCTCTCTATACACACCCATAATATTCATCGACCGAGCAGTCTAAGAATGAACAAAACCGAGCAAATGTTTTCTACAAACTGTAAACCTTTTATCAAAACTGGTGTAAGATAAAAAATAAAAAAAATCTGTGCGTTATATTCTGGAAAATTCAAACGGTTGCTTGGTTACAGTAGAGTCCCGCCTCTCGGAACAGTTTTATGTTTCAGAAAACATTATAAACGTAATCGCACAAGCGACTAATCTAAGTGACACATTTGGCTTTACTAGTATTTTTTTTAAGGCAAATTTACCAAAAACAAATTATTGTTTGTATTTGAAAAGATGTGCGGGGACGTCACAGCTGTAGGAGGCGCGAGTTACAAATCTCGCGATAACACACTTCCTCTCAAAACAGTTTCCCCTCTTGATTAAATGGCTACCCAAAGTTATCCCTTTAGGTAAATATTATTGTTATGAGTAAGGAGGAGATTTTTATTATTTTTGCAACTCATCGATATTTCGTATTATAACAAATGACACGAAGGCGGCGTTTGTTGTCTTGCAGTGAACTCTGTAACGCTACAGTGATGGCTGTACGTCGCTAAATATACAGCTACCAGCACGTTAGCAACGGATAACACCTACCTTAGCAACTGCATGTCTCCTGTATTGTGAAGGGCTATCAGCGCATACAAACAATTGTATTACCGGATTGACCGGTAGGTGAGTGGCATAATGTATTAATTTGATTCATTATTTTATAAGCTGTATGGAGTTATTAGCTGCATGTAGCTTACATTTGTTTGTCAATACGTTTATTATTGTTTTTTTGTTCGTTTAGGTCACAGCAAGGATCAGATCCGCAATGAGGCTGAAAACATCGCTGCTAAAGGAACCAAAACATATCCTTTCTGTGACGCAAATCTCTTTACCTACGCTAAGTTTTGTTTTTCATGGTGAAATGTCCACATTAGACATAAACATAATGTGATCCCATTTCATTACATAATAATACATATTACTTCAGCGGATGTTTGTTTCATAAAAATACCAAGGCGGTATAAATATTCTGTTTATAGTAAAAGTCACACATAAAACGTAATTTTTAACAAAAAGCATGGATGTATAAATTTAGGATTTAGTCTCTTTGACTCAAATTGTAGAATGAAGCAAAATGTATGTTCATTTAGATGTTTATATTCAATTTTAAAGGTTTCTATCACCTTAAAGTCTTAAAATGAATTACTACTAGATCAGTATTAGAGCTTGTCAGGTATGTAAGTTTTACACCAGTTGATTCATTGCCTCTTTTGCTGAATTTTAGTTAATTAGTAATTGCTTAAGAAAGGGTTTCAGATTGCTTATTTGCTTCACCTGCTGCAGTTCTGGCTGATAAATTCAGGCAGTATTACACTCTGTCAAAGACCTATGGAGTAGAGTTTGACCGATACTTTTTTTTTTAAGGTCATTGCTGATAATAATTGTTTTGACATTAGCCAAACCAATTCCCAGTTTGTGCTGCCTATATTTTTTTTGCCGATTCTTGAAGCTTATATGGCTTTTTCTTCCTCTATTTACATAATAAAAATGACACAATGATAGTGAATGTTTCACAAGCCTCAATTTAAACAAAAAATATTTATTAACAAATAAAGTAAAAAAATTACCAATATCATTATTATCAATATCAATGCATATCACTCAAAGTATTTGAGTGATATACATTTAACTGTTTTTGTACCTTGCACGAATCGTGTATTATCCCATTACAGTTTCTTTAAGTAAATAATATCAAAACATTCTTGTGTGGTATTTACAACCATCTTCTGGGTCATGAAAAAAGTGGCTAAAAGTTACCTGAAAAGGGTTCATAAAAGTAATTAAATATAAGATATTAAAGAAATAGGTTAATATTTTAGCTTCTTTAGGTCGCATTATTCAAATAGGTCATAATTTGAACTCTTAATGGTATTAAATAGCTCCTAAAAAAATCTCAAATTTAAATGACCAAAACCTGCTGAAGTAATTTATTAACTGGCTCTATTTACAAAAAAACACCCCTGTATTTATATGCAATTACATTCTGTAAGATAAAGCGAGAGAAAAGATGTCACTTTGTAAACATGTATTTTTCTATCTATCCTTTAGAGCAGCACAATATAGTAAATAGCAGTTATTGTCGTGGAATGATTTTCTTTTTTCTTTGCAACTTTGTAGATTCCAATGAAATCTGTCGTCTGCATTTAACCCATTCCTTAGGGAACAGTGGGTTGCCACTGTGCAGCACCCTGAGGAACATTTTAGTGCTAAGGTCTTGCCAAGGAACCCTGAGTAGCAATCGGTGGGATTCAAACCATAGCACTTGCAGCGTTCCCTGGAAAGTGTTAAGTGCTGACTGAATAGTGCTGGCAGTAAGAAGGGAGGTTTGAAGACGAAGCCTTCCTATACGAAGTCACATGATCCTTTCTGTGAAATGATTTAAAAGCAACTCATGGCACGTTTATTCATATAACGCATTTTAGTAACATGACAGTACAAAGAGCTGTACATAAAAAATAGAAAGAAAAGTACAGTGGTATAAAGGGAACAAAAATAATACAAGAGAATAAAGATGATTAATTTAAATGATTATATAAAAAAAGATTGATAATTGATTTATAAAAAAAGAAAGTTGTTTTGAAGACTTCACTAATTATGTTTCATTAGCTAAGTCAAAAGCGGCTCTTAACAATATGTTTTTAATTTTGATTAAGGATTTTCATGCTTTTACAGTTTTCTGGAAGTTGAATCCTGATCAGATAAAAAAAAATTGTTTTTTTTCTTTGAGCAACTCATTCAACCTGTTAAAATTCTACTATCTACTATGGGTTAGTTTTCTTTAACAGTATCTTACATAAGGAGCTTGTGAGTTGCATTGGTTGGACAACAGCAGACGAGCTGTACTCTTGCAGTGAAGATCATCAGATCCTCAAGTGGAACCTACTCACCAATGAAACCAGCCTGGTGGTCCGACTGCCGGACGACATTTATCCTGTCGACCTACACTGGTTCCCAAAAAATGTCGGTGCCAAGAAGCAGACACAAGCTGAGATTTATGTCCTTACCAGTACCGATGGTAAGTATTGATAGTTTTTGATATTTCTCATATGGGCTCAATTTATTTGTTTGTAAAGAACAAAGATTAGTACAAGTTTTAAGGATATTTGAAATTTAATTGTGACTAAAATGTTTTAAATCATAACTAGGTCTAATTAAGCCCACTTTTCCCTTATATTCTAAACTGCATGGTACAATTTAGAAGTTTTTTTTCTTTTATGCAAATAAAGTCACCTTTCCCTTTGTTTTGTATCACTATCACTAAATCTTCTTACTTTAGTTACTTCTATCACCATCATCATAAGCTTAGGGTTTCTCTATTACATACAGTACAAACACAAAGAGGTATAGATGCACTTTTGTGGCACGCAATGTGTGGTCACATTTCTAATGACAGTGTACGGTTGCATAAACACACCCACAAACTGAAGTAGCAATTTTCTCTGGCTGACCAGAGACAAGTGAAAACCCTGTTACCATTCACTTTTTTAAAACTTTCTTGCTTTTCATTTGCAGTCGTGCAAATATTAGCTACTAAGGATACTACTCAAAATGGGAAAAGGGTAAACAGATTCATCTTGCATTGATAAAGTATCTCCTAGTCAGCAGTATTTTGTGAGAGATTTTGTGCACCCTGCGGAAGTATTCACATCCTCTAAAGGTGTTTGCATTTTGTCCCATTTAAAGGGGGCATTTAAACATAAAAATAACGTTAGATCTGAACCAATCTGCTTTAGGTCTTGGTCATTTAGTTTAGTTTAGTTTTTTTTATATTGAGTACATTTTTGCCTCAAGGCCTGAATAAACCACTTGCGTACAACGTTTTAATCTCTGTTCAGATTTTTTTTCCATGTCACACTGACTGCTTATAGAGAGGCTCCTAATAAGGAGGATGAGCAGATCTGCACAGATTTTTTTCCACTCCCGTTTCTGTGCCACACACAAATCAAAACAATTTTCCATATTTGAGTTGGACAGATTATGAAAAGTTATTAAAAATAAATAAAAAACCACAGGCGCAGCTATAAGGCAAAGCCCCACTTAACGAGCCTGTGAAGCATCTCAAACCAAAACAGATAATTTTTATAGGCCTATAGTAAACATTATGACAACTACGTCTAAAAAAAAAAAAAGAACGACAGTAATAAACATTGTGGGACTGTTTATATGCTGGCTGAGGTAGATAGGTGAATTTTAGAGAGAGATCTGTGAAATTTATCCAAATTTTGTTTTTTGTTTTTTTCTTAAAGACTTGTAACATTGTCCTACATGTTTGGTTTAGTTCAAACATACTTGATTCATGCAAAAGGGATGTTAGATGTTTTTCTTACTTTTCAAGTTGTTTCCTTAACACATCATTGTAGATGTTAATAGCTGTAGGATAGGAGGATATCCTGAAGGATCTGGAGAAGCCTCTGACAGCCTTAGATGGATTTAGATCTGTAAAGTTCCTTAAAAACTCTTTAGACCTCCATAGAACAGCTGAATCTATACAGAGATTATATCACACGCATAGATGGACTCTTATGTCCTGTTTACCTGACTGTTGAAGGCTTTTGATTGCACTGGACTTTTTTAATAGCAGAGTGAATTACTGAAAAAAGGATTTAGATTAATGAAAAAATAGTTCAAAATTTAACAACATATCCTTTTCACTTCACAGTAATTAAGTTCTTGTTGTTGGCCTTTTAGATGTAATCCTAATATAATTAATGTTTGAGGTTTTAGATTGCGGTGTGAAAAGACATTGTGTATAAAACTGTATATAGAAATATGTTTGTCCGATTTATTTTTTTCTTAGCTGCACGTATAAATAGATTATATTATAAATATTCATTTGTTATGATACCATTCAAGGTTTATGTGTGGATGTATATTTGTATGATAAATTCTTAACTTAATGGTATGTAAAGAACTTGTACAGGCAATTCACACGCCCTGACCTGTTTCCAAAATACGCTTCACTCGTTCAGTTTAAAGTCTGCTTTTTAGTTCCTAAATGCTCTCAGAAAAAGCCTCCCAGTGACTACCTGCAGCATCAGTAATACTCACTTCTGTAAGGGTTTCCAAATGTAGAAACGAGAGTGAGCTACAGCATGATTTGCAATTAAAGGCTACCAGAAATTATATATTACACTCAGAATTTTTAAGACACACCACCACAAACTATATGTTTGGTAAGCGTCTTCTTCAATAGCTGTCTCCATGCCTGATGACCCTTTCATGTCTGGGGAACAAAATAGTTGCCTTAATTCCACTAGCAGAGACTATTTGTTTATACTTATTTGCTTTATGTTGTAACTCTGCAACGTGCATCTGGTTTTATGATACAATTTGATACAATTGCTTTATGAAGCAACTAGAGATTTAGATACAAAAGATAAAATAACAACAATGGGTATATGTCTTGCGTACCTACTGCCCATGTTGTGTTTTTGGATTTTATTGAGTCATCTCTTTAATAGGAAAGTTTCACCTGGTCTCCAAAATGGGGCGCATAGAGAAGAGTGTGGAAGCGCATAAAGGGGCTGTTTTGGCTGGAAGGTGGAACTACGATGGGACGGCTCTACTCACAGGTGAAAGGCCCGGTGACACACTTTCACTATGAAAATAAGCTCTTGTCTTCAATAAAAAATTTAACTGAAGCATATCAGCTTTCCCACAATCCACTCTTTTCTTGGAATTACTTAGCGGGTGAAGATGGACAGATCAAGATCTGGTCAAAAAGTGGAATGCTCCGTTCAACATTACTGAGTCAAGGTAAGGCTTAAAATCGTACTTCGATATTGGTGTGTTTGTTAAAGAATTTTAGGGCTGAAACAATTAATCAGGATTAATCGATTATTGAAATAATCGTCAACTAATTTAGTAATTGATTAATCGTTAACTGGAGTGTAGAGACTCTAAAAAGTGTCTTTAGCTGACAGAGCGACCCACTTAGAGCAACAATTATAGCAAAATTGTACAAACATTTTGCATTTAGGCTAAAAAAAAATTTGTCTGTCAATATGCTCTATTCAGAATTCCTCAAGTGGAAATGTTTCACTTTGTTTAATTTTGAAAAAATCTTCTTTAAGGAACCTTTGGCTGTCCAATTGTTAAAGGTATTGTGGAGGATTTTTTTAAAAGACCCGCCCTCTCCACTTAAAAAAAAAAATGCATGTGCAAGAGCATGCACAAGCCCATTTCTCCTTGTGCACGCCCTGTTTAAAATGTGCCGTTCTCATAACTCATACAAGCTTACCTTGTCCACATATAGCAGGGACTACATAGTGGACTTTATAGCACACTCAGTTAACTGACCGTTCGGACAGATGATCAGTGCTTTTTGCTCCGTTGGTCACCCAACTCCTCCTTCGCGTGGTGCCTGCACCATCTTTGTTATCAGTCTGGCCGCTGTGACAGCAAATCCCATAGTACTTTGCGATGTGAGCTTTCCTCGCAAAGCATTCCCGGATATATCTGACTCTTCTGAGGCCTTTCTGTTCTTCTCATACACTTCTTAGACACTTTTTCTCTTACTACCCTCAGCCATTTTCAAAGAACTGCTGTGAGAGAGGTGAGCTTCAATGAATGTCTGCAACCGTAGTTCACCACAGATATGCGGCCAAAAGCGCAGAAAGAGATAGCTAACGGGGGGACCACGTAGAACCACCTTATGTAAACATATCACCAGAATGATTGACAATTAGGAAGATCACTTATTGAGATGATCCAGCTGGAAAATAAAAGATCGTCCTCTATACCTTTAATCAATAAATTGAAAAAGTTATCGACAGATTAATCAATTTGTAAAATAATTGTTTCAATTCATGACCATGGCAAAATGTAACAAAAAGTTAAAATAAACCAACATCTTTTGCACCCAGCAGTGCTTGTGCATTTATCACAGCCAGATCATCCAAGCTTTTGTCACCCAATGGAGAATTGGCAGACTGTAAGAGGTGGCAGTAAATGACAGGCTTTGCTTATTTAAAAAGAAACTACATTTATTTTAAATACACCTTTGAAAAAAATAATTTAAACTTAAGGGATGAATTGGAGAAAAGTGGGAATTAAATTCGTTGCTGAAAATATCTTTTTCAGAGAGGAGGTCAATCGAGCTGAATATAAGGGATAGTGTTTTAGATGTTGGCATGATCTAAGCTTTGCTCTCTACTTTTACTGTTACTTGGTGATTTAAAAACTATTTATAGTGAGACGACACGTAAACCAGATTTTGCGGTGGAAAAACCTACACTGCGCATAAACTTGAACACACCGTTACCACATAAAACACATACAGGCTTAGTACATTAGATGTACTAAGCCTGTAGAGATGTACCCAAAAACACTTGTAGTAGTGAGAAGGTGGCTCTGTAGAGTTTAAAAAAAAAGGGGCATTGACACAAATACCTGCCACACTTCTTTGCTAAAAAAAAACAAAAAAAAAAAAAACCTTTGTGGCCTTTCTTTCTACTTTATATATAATAGGACACTAATTTCAGTTGGTCTCCACTTGGACTAAAACATTCAGATTGATCGTGATTACTCGATTATTAATCTAATCGTCAACTAATTTAGTAAGCTATAAATTGTGAACTGCAGTTTAGAGACTAAAAAAAACATTTGGCTGACAGAGCAACCAACTTGGAGCAATATATATATATATATATTTAAACATTTTGCATTTAGGATGAAAACGTTTTTGTTTGTCAATATGCTCTATCCAGAACTCCTCAAGTAGAGAATTTATAGTTTCACCTGGTTTAATTTAGTAAAAAATCTTCTTTAAGGAACCTTTTGCTATCCGTATATGAATCGATTAATTGAAAAAATAATCCACAGATTAATTGATTTGCAAAATACAGTAATCGTTAGTTGCAGCCCTAGTCTCTACATAAAATCCCAACATGGAGTTATGGTTGAAATGGGATCAAATGTGCAAAATGAAATATGTGATCGACAGGATCCTTCACGGTGATAAGAGTTGCTGCTGCTTTGCTTTTCTTTAATCTAAAACATTTTTCTCTACTGTCCGCATGACTGATAAGTCTGCAGGCATCCTTCATCTTTACCATTGAGCATAATTCAGTGACACGGCATCAATCCCATCACGCACTGCAGGCTAGGTATGAACAGCGTCTCATTTTTCAGTTAACTGGCAGTATTTGTGTGTGAAAATGACTTTGGTGACATTAGCTGCTCGTTTTGCTTTTCATCGATATTAGAGGAGTTAAGAAAAAATGAGATAATATTTATTATACCCATGTGATGGCATAGTTGTGTGAGAATGTGTTAGGCCTGTTGGACTGGAACTGAGTTCAGATGGAGAAAAGCAGCGCGGTCGCTTCAGTTCTTTATTAAAAAGGCCTGAAACTTTAAAAGTTTTATAGAGTTTTTATTAAATTCCAATAAAGAAATGCTCTTCTCTTCCACATTCTCATTACAGATGGCTTACTTTTAAATTGATTCATTTTGTTTCTTGACTTATTAAAATGTCTTTTTTAATGACGAGAGAGACATAAACATACAGAATGGGTGGATATTAGTTACTTTTAGAAAAGTTTGTTTTTAGGCCAAGCCGCCCGATAGGCATCAGATTTGCAGAGCACCTAGATTTAGTAGGGTACACAAAACTTGCCACACAGTGCTGCAGGTGTTGCTTCTCTTCATACTCTCTTGTGCGCGCAGAAATGCTGAAGGTTTAGGAGAGGGCTGTTCTTTTTGGTTGCTTTGACCCATTTTAAATCGAGCTTTAGGAAGAGGTTGGAACTGAGCGAGATGGAGGTGAAAGGAACTTGTCTCAACTCCTCTCATCGACTTTGTCAGCTTTTCAGATCACGTGACCAGTTGGCATTTTAGAGAAACCACATGCACCTGGAGTGAGGTTAAATGTCAGGGCCCCCTCCCCTTCACACGTGTGTAGCCACAACTTAAATTTAAACACACACTCACACACTCACTTTCTGGCTTAACTTTCCTAATAGGGAGTTGATAGGCTTAATACGCTTCCGTAACCTTATATCCTCACCTTTTACAATCTATAAGTCTAAGTCTTAACAAAATCAGATTTTAATATAGCCATGGATTTAACTTTTAACTTTTTTTAAGTGGTTATTTTTTTCATCTAGAGCTTTGATTCTCATAAAACTAAAAACGGCCCAAAATAAGTTGAATTTGTGCTTCAAATGTTGAGTTTAAACTGAATATGTCAGCTGGTTTTCCTGCAAACTGAGAACTATTTTATGAAGAGCTATGAGAGAATGCAATATCGTCTAAGACTTCAAATCATGTAGTTCTAGTTAGTGACAGCAGGAAGGGCGTCTTCCTTGCAGCAGTTTAAGTCAGTCAAACAGTCTGCATGTATTGATAGTCTGTTTTTTTGTGTGTTTTATTTTTTTGAACCACAATGAAATTCTTCATGTCTGTATTTCTGCATCCTCTTCAGGGTCTCCTGTTTATTCTGTTGCTTGGAGTCCGGACTCTGACAGAATCCTCTACACATCAGGAAGGCAGCTAATCATAAAACCTCTACAACCAAGTGCTAAAGTCATTCAGGTTCCCACCCTTTTTTATTCAATTTAATTAACAGTTAATTGTGGTTTTGAGGCTTTTTATGAGAGAGGAGCTTGATTTAACAGAATCCGCAATTTCAGAATTTTTGCATGGTTACAGGTACAGACTTCAATGTATTTAAATGTTGGTTGGAGGATTTAATGTTATAGAACAACAAAAAAGTTTGACACAATTGTTAACAGAAAGAGAATTTTTTTTTTTTAAACAAATTAAAAACAGATATATGGCTGTTTTTAATCCCTTCTGACAATTTAAAATCTGAACTTTTTTACCCCTTTTTTTTGAAGAATATTTCCAGATTAGTAAGCTTTAAAAAAGTGTCTTTCAACAGCAACTTATAAATCCTTCTATTGATTCATAACTAGATTTAAAGGGTTATAGTCACATTGGCTACATTCACACACATTTTTGCGTTGCCGTTCACATTTCCAAATATATGCAACTTGTATGTGATCTCCTGTGTAAACTGCATTCATACAGCTTAAGTGTCCCACATGCGCAGTAGAGGACGCAATGATGTCACAAGCCAGGGTGCTTCGTGTTTACGGAAGTAAACATGGATGGTAGTGCTGGAGTGCATCTAGCGATGTTTCCAAACCTTAAAACCTCAATCTTTTCAAGATGGTTAAAAAAAATACTGCTCTCCACATTATCGTCCGCCATGGTTGTTGTTTTTGTAACCCTAAGCCGCTTCTTTGTAGCAAGAAGCAGAATAGTGACCTATGTCACGTATTAATGGGGTTCAGGTCAGATGAATGTGACCTGGCCGTTCAGACACAGGTCGCATTTGAAAAAATCTGATTCGTATTAGATTCAGGACCAAATAGCCAAGTGGTCTGGGTCGCATTGGAAAAAATCGGATCTGTGTTATTCAGACAGCCATGTGAAGATCAGATCCAGGTCGCATATGGGCAGAAAAATCGGATTTGGGTCACTTCAGGCTGCAGTGTGAACGAGCCATTATCTTTCAATACAAAAAAGACCAAATTTGATTATGATAAAATAAGATCACATACACCCAAGTTTCCTCTTTATAATCTTTTGATAGACCTTTTTGAGCCTTAATAGAAATCCAGCATGTGGTGCAATGAGCAGACATAAACCGAATTGGCACCATCTGCCAGCGGTGCTGGCATACTTTCAGAAAGCTAAATAGCGACTTCTGAATCGACCCCGACCGTCTTTCAATGCCTTATGGTAAAGCAACTAAGAGTTTTCGAGGAATATCCAATAGTGATTAACTAAACTGATCTACAGCAACTCTAAGTACTACTCTGTCCTCCTCAAAGCTTCCCACAGACCATTCCCATTAAATGCAGACAGGGACAGAATCAAGTACCAGTCTGTGTGTCTACCTGTCTGTCCGTCCATTCATTGCATTCAGTAGTATCAGTATTGATGTAGACATTAACTCATGCATCCATCAAATTAGCAGCCACATCTGAACTCCTCGCAGCTTCAGCATCAGCATTAGTTCATATTTCATTTCTGTTATTGTTCGAATCTTATTGCTATTGGAATCAAAAAATTTTTTGCGTGTTTTCACATTGGATCTTTGACTTCTATCCATTATTTTCACACTTCCCTGGGAGGTGCTAACTTGCTTTATAAGACTCCCGCTAATACGTCCGTCTCGTAACAACCAGCGAGCCGGACCAATGACACGCCAGAAGTGTTTTTTGGGGCGGGACATGTAGGAAAGACGACAGTCAGAAGGGCCTCACCAGGGCATAACAAACATGGCTATGCTGGAGCCAAAATAATGTAAATTTCTTGTTTAAAATAGGAGCAAATTGAAGCACTTTGTGCATTTGTAGATGGCAAAGATTTCTGTGCTTTTCTTCCAACAATATTTGGAAAAAGTTTGATTTATCAGCTTACTTTGCTAGTCGTGAAAACACTCAACATCATGAGACGCCGCTGAAAGCGTATTATGGAATGCAGGTACTAGCTGGCGCATCACCCAATCAGCTCGAAGTACTGTACTAAACGTCCCTCCTTTTCACGGACAGACTGAATGGCAGCCATCCTAGATTAATAACATTGAACTCAACTCGCTTCTACACATATCAATCTGGCTACTGCCAGGTTACTGTTGGCTAGACAGCCTCCTTCCATAATGACTTTCTTTCTGTACTTTTCTGCACTTCGTTATCAACAAATCTCTAAGACGTTAATAGAACAGCTGTTTTTATACTGCGATTACATTAGATACACGTGGTATTTAAAGATTAGGTAGCTGCTAAATGCTATTTATGGCTCAGATTGGATTTTAGGGGTATCACAGTAAATAGGGATGGAAATATAAATTCCCTCCACTCTTTTTAGATTTTAAATTGTGCAACACTTTGAAACTCACACTTTTCCCTTACCTTCACTGTTACACCGTTTCTTTTATTGCATAAAAACTTAGTAGAATAGACAAACAGTTTGAAACTCTAACACAGACATGTGCAAAGTCAGTCCTGGAGGGCTGCTGTCCTGCAGGTTTTCAATGTTTCTTTGCTTTAGCAAAGCTGATTCTGATGATTGTAGTTCAGCAAAAGCCTGTTTATCAGCTATCAATTGAAATGAGCAGTGCCGAAGCAGAGAAACCTCTAAAACCAGTGGCCCTTTGGGCATGCCTGCTCTAACATGACCAGTTCTAAACACTTTAAACATACACCAATGCCGCCGAAGACATGTCAAAATCAACTGTAGAATAAAGTATGTATAGGTTCATTTTTAAATGTGGATTTTTTTCATACACTTAAACCCCTTCTGAAATCAGCGCTATAGTTTTTTTCGTCAATAACGAGATCTAAAAAACATATTGTTTCATTTTTCAGAATCTTGTCGGTAATTTCTCTCTGAGCCTCATCAATATCTTTCACTGAACAAATAAACAAAGTAGGACAATTATGAGAGTTCAGTTTTTTATAGTAAAGAATCTTCCCCTGTAAAGTACTCACTTTTTTTCACAGCTTTTGTTTTTGCTGTTAACAGCAGCTAACATTCAGCTCAGTTAAACCTGTGCATTTGTCTAATAATGGATATGCAGCAGCGTGAGTAGGGTTGTTAGACTTTCTGTCTACTTTCTTTTACGCTGTGCAGCGAGAAAATAAATAAACGTCTTTCTTTGCTGTGGCAGAGTTTCAGCCTTCCTGATGGATCAGTAAATTAATGACCATGCACATTCACTGCTAACATGTTTCTCTATAGATGACCTTATACACTAGGGAGAATTTTTCTTGTTCATGTATGCGTTTGTTTATTATTCTTCTCGATGCTGAGCAGCACCTGGGACCTTGGATAAACAGGGGAGGGTTTAATGTGTGCTTTGCTTTCTCTTGGCCATTAGCAGACATACGAGTACAAGCACACACACACACACACACACACACACACACACACACACACACACACACACACACACACACACACAAACTGAAAAGTGCCACTTCATCACCTCTCCCTCACACCCCCTCCGAGACCTACTTGATGGAAGGCACAATCAACATAAATACAAAACCGTGAAAGATCCTCTTCAAAGTTTGCTAGTCTCTCACCCAGACAATGAAACACTTGGATTTAGCTGAGTTTATCTTGGGTATATAGAAGTAGGATTAACTGAACAGAGTTTTACATTAAACTCTAATAAAGTTCATAAAATGTAATGATTCAGTTAGATTTGGGTGATATGGACCTGAAATTTTAATCACAGTATTTTTTTAGTGCAATGGTGATAATGACAAACATGATCATTACAAGCTTTGTAATACTTTTCTTTGGTGACTGCATGAGACAGCAATCATGGCCCTGAAGCCATGATAATATATTCTTAAAAAAACATACCCAGGTGCATAAGGAGGGGTGATTTTTATCACAAAATTGAACACAGTAACTTGATTTTTATTATTTTTATTATATTTATGGATATTCTTATGGAATAAACAGTGGAAATAAGGAAAAAAATAAGCATTCCATATATTCTGCCATATATCTTTCTTTTTTTTCTTTTCTTTTAAACATCAAAATTCTTATAACAATGAATTTATCACTGTAACAATAGACAATACAATAAATGCACATCCACAGAATATAGGCCAACTTGCTTGATATTTCTCCATTTTTACTGTATTCCCCTTCCTATGGAAAAAATAGAAGAAACAAATGAGCAATCATTTATTTATTTATTTTGGGTGAAAAAACAGGGAAGAATAAATGTACAGATGATTAAGTGATGTGTAGTTGAAGTTTTCTCTGTCCTGCTGTCTCTCTTTAGTGGAAGGCTCATGATGGACTTGTTCTTAAAGTGGACTGGAATTCAGTCAATGACCTCATCCTATCAGGTGGAGAAGACTGTAAATATAAGGTTTGTGATTTTTACATATACTGTCTCATTTTAATAACAAAATAAAAATTAATCCCTGTTCATATATAGCTCTGTTAAGGGAAGGGAAAATGGGGGTTTAATATTATTAAACAAGCCTCCTGCACAAAGTCATAAACTGGGAATATGATCCAGAGTATAAAAGCAATAAATAATAAGAAGAGGAGTTTAGACTTAAAGCATCTAGTGGCGAGTTGTGGAGTAAAAATAAATCTGGTTCATGACACATGACTTGGTTCAGTTATATTAAAAAGTGTGAAAAAGTTGGAAGCAGATACTTATTCTAGTGTCATTAACTGCCCAAAAATTTTCCACAGTAGTAAAAGTGTTTGAAACTTCGTTTGCGCTTTTTTTTAAAGTATGTCAACAAAACCCAAAAGCTTCATCCTTTCTTATATCAAAATAAGATCGTTAGAAGTCTAAATTAGAGGTTTAAATCTCCGTGTTCGATACATGTAGTTCACAAGAGGAAGTCCTATCAACCAGATACTGCTCCATAACACAGATGCACACTTTGACATCATCACTGGGGTGTTTGAATCTCTACCGCTATGAATAAATTGTAACACTTCTAGTATTTATTAACAAAACTTTAAAGGCCGATTATGCTCACATTTAGCTGTCTCAGTGTTCAATGTTATTACCAATATAGCCATCAGGGTAGAAAGTAGGCTCACATGCTCTTTTCAGCTGATTTGTATGATAGCAAGTTGACTTTGCACATCCAGGAAGTGATTTAGTGATGATGTACAGTTTGTTTGGCCATCCTTAAGCGGTATATATACAATTAAACAAGACCTAGAATCAGTTTGTGACAAGAAGATTGAAAAAGTTCATTTGAATCAGAAGTGTTTTCCCAACCAGCAACAACATCACCTCAATAAATTCAATCACGTGGAAATGAATGGTTTGGAAAAACCTATATAGTGAACTTTATGTGTATTGCTGATTTTTTTTTTTTTTGTACCAAACCCCCCTGACATCCAACACCCTTAGCTTGTTTTTTCTCAAAGTTAAACCTGTTTAAATATTCAGGTATCACTGACTTTACTTGTAACATGTGAAAGGCCAGATGGCCTCAGAGGCCAATCTTGCTCTGGGTTTTTGACCAAAATGTTTTTTTGGAAGAGCTCAAAGACCCTTTCAAATTGAGCCTGAGATGCTTTTTGCCACCTCAGTGTAGTCTGTATAAGAGCTGACGTGGCATGGCTAGGGTTGAGGATAATCTATTCCTGGTAACTAAGGAAGGCAGAGTTACTGAGGATGAATGGGATGGGGCAGCAGCCGGTTAAAACGCATTATAATCATGGGGTGATAATAATGGTTATGGTTTAACCAATAGTTCTGCAACCACGCTAGGTTAAGTAAATCCACATGGTTACACGATATGAATAATTCCCATTGACTGGAATGTGAGATGCCGTGGGTTAGTTAAAGCAGTCCAGGGATTGAGAAATTCACTCCTTCAGTTTGAGTGATTTGCCCTCACACAGATTTTTAGAACTGGCCAATCAACATAATGCGCTTGCAGCATATTTTTAACATTGATTGATTTGAGGGGAAAAAAGCAAGAAAAAAAGTCCATCATACCTATTGCTCTGGACCAAAGGAAGATCGTCCATTTCCTGCCAACATCTCATTTATAGCAAAGCAAAACTGACAGTGCCAAAGTTCATTCAGAATTCCATTAAACTCCAAGTAAAGCACAAAATTAATTAATTGAACTGAACAGCATGAGAGAATAAACAAGTCCAATACATTGATTTATAAGGCTCCTGAGCTCAGTGTAAGCAAGCGTGTATTTAAAGTCGCGCATATTTAAAATGTGTAAACAGGAACATTACTGCTTGTACTAAAACTCAACTTTTTTCAAATGTTTCTATTTTTCAGATTGTTGATTTAATATAATTAAGTATCTCCTCCCTTCAAAGGTTTGGGACAGCTTCGGACGTCTGCTTCACACATCGTCCTCTCAGGACTACCCCATCACCTCTTTGTCCTGGACCCCAGATGGCGAGGTGTTTGCCGTGGGCTCCTTCAACACCCTGCGGCTTTGTGACAAGACTGGTGTAAGTGGATCATTTAAACTCTTCTTTTCAATAAGGCTGGAATCCTCACAGTTACACTTTAAATTAATAAACCTCGACATACCTGTTTAAACGGCCTCAGCACACAGTGTTCATTCAGCGAGCTCCTTCGACTCCTACTCTGCTCACATTTTCCCCTTCATAGTCGAGTGTGCCAACCTCCTACTTTTCTTGTGACCGACTTATGGGGATGAAGAAGAAGAATTGTTGCTATTAAGTTTGATATGCTATTAGAGGGTCTGGTACCCTTTTGCGCCAGGCACCCACTGCACACCTGTCAGTACGATGCAGTGCTGTGAAGCCGCCCATCCTCCTACCTGCTGTACCTGCTTAATCCCAAGTACTTGCATACGTATTACAGCCTAACAGATCGCCACACTCAAAAAATTCAAGTTACACTGAAAAACAGGCCTATTGGTTAATTTTTTATAAGTATATTGGTCCTTTAAAGACACCTGGGCTTCTTCTCCAGTGCATTTCTGTACAGACACTAATTAAGCAGAGACTTTGTAGAATTATAATAGGAATATGCAGATACCGTGACTTTTAATGAGCGTGATGGCCACAGAGACTGTGTTTTTAAACACATTTTTACTTCCTTATTTGCACACATTGAGGTAAACCCTATGAAAACGTAAACGCTGCACCGTTCAGATTGCCATCAGCTCACTAAGGCAGGTGAACACACTTTTTCCAACTCAGCAACTTTGTCACTATAATTGGTGACATTTTAAACCCCGTTAGCAATTATTATTATTATTTTTTAAAGAGACTAGCGTCAAATCTAGCGACCACTTCCTGTCCTTTTTGAGACTTTGGTCATCAGCGAGCAGTGAGTGAGCGAGCAAGCCCCTCCCTCATGAGCCACACATGTGCAAAACTTCTAACAAACCCCTGAATTAAAGAATGGGATGTAAATATATAATGTTTCATGTTATCTTTTTTCTTTGAAGCTTTTGTTCTAAAATAGATCTTCCCTCCATATGATTCATCCACAACCTACCCACTGTGTATCTCTGTTAACTGTCTGTTAAATTGGACAATATAAGTATAATTAGTACAGGTTAACACATCCTCTGGATAAGTAGAAAGTGTTTTCTAGTGTTTATCTTGAGTTTTTAATGTACTTGGATATTTTTTTGTCGCTTTCTGTCTTGCTGATGATGATGTATCTATAAAAGGGAAATTATGCAATTACGTCATTTATCTTCGCCCAGCTATGCTCATAAAAAAATACAGAAAAATCCTGCGGAGAAGCCTGCAACATTGCATATAAAACAGTTTGATGTGAAGATTTCTGTGCAGCAGTCCTAACAGTCTGGATGTCAAAATCTTCCTTCTCTGTCACCATTCCACAGATGAACGAATCATACCCCATGATGTATTAGTTGTTTTTTTTTGTTTGTTTTATTTTGCTATGAACCCAGAGCAGATAAACATACACTTTTTCAAAATTTTATGTTTCCGCCTTAGTCCAGATTGTATTAAATAAATCTTTTTTCATTGCGGTGCTGTGAATACTTTCTGGATGCACTGTACTTTTTTATATTTTACAAGAAAAACCATGATTGTAATTTTAAGCAGTTATCGCAAATCACATATTTTTTCTGATAACATGCGATATATTCCTTAGATACCCCGTATTTGTAGATATAACTCCATACAGGAGCTTTGTCAGATGCTCATCTCCATGTTTGTTGATTTGTTGTATAACTTGACCCTAACTGAAAGTTATATTTCATGGTTTTAAGCAGCCAGCCTTGGCAGAATGTATACATCATACACTTTCCCTATATTTTTGTTTTTTCCACATTTAATGTAGTGTTTTGTAATTTTGGCTCCATATTTACAGTCATTTAATCCCTTTACCCAGAACAAACAACAAATATGAGGCACACAGCACTTTTCCAGTGCAGCAGGATTTATATGTGCAGCTCATTACTAGCCTCATGCTTTTCTATAGATCATTCATCTCTGTAAATCACATTAGGCCGCCTGCCACATATTCTTGTTACCTGGTGCTGATGGTAACTGCAGTAAGGAGAGGAGAAATGACAGACTAATGAATGGTTACTGTGGTTTTGTTATTGCCAAATGTTTAGCCAGCAAAAACATTACCACCCGCCTCATGGGACATTCAGGGACTTGTTCAGTTAATGCGAAGATGTCAGCTGCGTCGAATTGCAGTAATCAAAACAACCAAATCACGCTGGGTTCTTTATTTGTGTCCTGATCACCAGGCATTTCATGCTTCATTTAATTTAATAAAGATCAAATGTCCTTTTTCTCATTCAGAGCCCTGAAATTAATTAAAGGTCTGAGCAAATGCATATGCCTATTATGAACATAGAGTTACGTTTGGAAATCTGAATCTGGTATTTTTAATATGTCTGTGCAATAGAGATATTTTTTTTTCCTGAAGAAGAAAGTTTTATAGGGGCAGTAAATGTATAATTAAAGTCATTTAAAAATATTAAAAAATAATTTATTATATTTTTGTATTTGTTTTAATATTTTGATTGATTTTATCCTTTCTGAATGGGTTCAGCCGGAGTCCTGTGAAGCAATCTAAAGATCCGGGGGATGTTAGAAAGGCCTCCCAACTTTAAGACTGGGAGCCCATCACCAGTAATAATAAATTTAAGAATAAATGAGACACGGAAATAAAATCATCCAAAAAGCTAGTCAGCAACTTTAGGGATTTTTTTTAAATTAGATTTTTTATTAAATTGAGTTAATTTATATAGCACCAATTCACAACAAATGTCTCAAGGCACTTTACAGAGTCAATTCAACAGGATCATACAGTCAGATTGGTTCAAAGTTTTCTATCTAAGGAAAACCAGCTGCATTGACTGATGCTTGCAGTGACAGTGGAGAGGAAAACTCCATTTTAAGAGGAAGAAACCTCCAGCAGAACCAGGCTCAGTGTGAGCAGCCATCTGCTGAGGCCGACTGGGGTTCTAGGAGACAAAAACAGACATACAGAAAGGAGCCCAGATACAAAAGGCAACTAGCTCCACAGGCGGCCAAGCAGACGAGCTCTGAGCCAGCTCCCATGACAGACGATGAAAGAGAGCAAATACAGTTAGTCACGGTAAGAGAAACAGGACTACACTGAAAAACAGGCCAAGCTCCAACATCTGTAAACAAAGATGTTGATGGCAGCAGCACAGCTGATATTTCTCTCTGGGATGATGTCACAGCCAAACTGGAACAGACCAGATGAAGCTACTATGATGAGAAAAGCAGAAATTGCATAACATTAGAGGTTGAACTAACAAATACTGCAGAATTGGAGAATAGAGATAGAGTGAGGCAGAATGACGAAAAGGAGTCCTTATGTCCTCCAGCTGTCTAAACCTATACCCCATTTGGACTACCTTTTTGAAAACGTGCAGAAAACGATCCGAGCACTGTAACTGAGATAACTGAGTGTAAAGAGAACACAAATGAATTAGACCATGTCAGACACAACCAAACTGTGCTAAACCTAGTGCTAGTTTAACAGTAGGGCTAAGCATGGTTTAGTTGTGGCTCAGTTCTCTGATAACAAAGAGCAAATATGCAGACCATGTCATCACCTCTTTACAGTCAGCTTTCTCATATTGCATGTTTTCCAGCGTGTCCTGCTTTGGAATTCGCGGATCTCTTTGCCTGTTCACAACACAAACCTCTTATCAATAAATCATTAATAAATTGCATCAAAAGAGCGTGGTGTGGGCAGAGGATGCTATCCAGGCACATAAGTTCGTCAATGTTATGGGTGCCACCTTTTGTATTTGCATAATTCCCGCCTTGAGAGCTGTAGTACGTTGGACTGCTGATAGGAGGCGAGAAACCGTGCTAGCGTGATGTGTAAAGACTTTTAATTTGACTTAGACTCAACTTTAGTTTCCTCTTGGGATTACTCCTTCAGTGAAATTCTGGTTACAGTAGCTCATAAGAACCGAGCTTGGCACGGTTAACTGATCCAAGCTCGGTCCAAACTCGGCACAGATTGGTTTCAGAGGGCTAGTGTAAATGTGGCAATTAGCTGCATAGCCATAGGCATGTTGAAACGCGATGTCACATGTGCAAGACCCCGCCCCCCCCCAGTTAATTGCTGGGGGGCAAAAACACCACGTATTGTTTTTAGGGTCAAGTTACCTCGCTGGCGCGCTAAATCCTAAATTAACATGTGATTTAATATTTTTTTAAGTCTACCCATTTGGAGTGAAGTTTTATATTACAGAATAACATTTCTATAAATAATTGAAATACCGGAAATATACGGCTTGCTCCTTATATTATCACATAAATTTATATAAATATAAAATTATCTTATCCTGCTTTGCATGTGCAGTGGGAAGACACCACATAGCCTTTTTCCCAGGCAGACCCATGCCTGGTGACCCCTTCATCTTCTGCGATGGCATCACGGCGTTACAACATTTTGTCGTAACGACGGCACACTTTAAGAAGCACACTGCATTCATGTGATCATCGCTGATAAATATTTGCCCCACATGTCCAGACACAAATAAGTTATATCCTTCTAATGACTTCTGTGCCTTCATTGCCTCTGCTGTGTAAAATTCTGGTTTGCTAATGAGAAATTTCAATCCACAGACCATCAGTTATTTGAAACAGGATTGGAAGCTTTACATTAAATACAGTTAACTTTGCTGTGTACCTTTTGCGGACCTGTGCAGAACGATGATCTAAATTAGTAATACTGACATTCCCTGGTTTCATTTTGTTAACAGAAATGTTGTACCGTGGCAGTGCGACTGTGTTTGGCTATGGTGTTCGGCTAGTAAAACAAACTTTTTGCCCTCCAGCATTGTGTGCATGTGCAAAACTTCCGGAAGTAAACAACAACATTCAGCATGTCTATAGCAATAGTTCATGATAACCTGAGTCTCTAACTGTGAGCTTTATCAAAAAGGAAAGTTTTAAGTCTACCCTTAAAATTAGACAGGGTAAAACTGAGAGTTGCC